GGTGTGCCTCCAGGCTTGGAGGGCTTGCCCTGTGTTGATTGGTCAACTGGTTGTTATGGCCCATAGGCCCCCCCAGGGTGGTTGCTATGCTCTCTACTTCATTGCTGTGCGCTTGTCCGAAAAGCACACCCAGGGTCGTAAAGCATAGCACTACCAGCTAACTTCTGATTGGTTCCTTGTCATGAGACAGGAAGCTGACTTTCTAGTTTCTAGGACAAGGTCATAGAAGCACATGTTCGACTGTTATGACTGCCGAAAGGGAAGCTGGTTCCTTTAGTTATTGTTTCATTTCAGTATTATATTTCATTATACTTGATTTCATTGCATTACATTTTATTTTGTTTATTGTTCTCTATCTCATTACATTTTATCTTCTAACATTTAAAAACCTTTTAAATTGTTTCCTTAAGTCAGAGAATTTCATTATCATATTTTAGGTGATAAAATCCTCATGGTATTTAAATTTTTATTTTGTTTTATTAACACATTTGGATTTTTCTAATGAATTCATTTCATCATCTTTCATTATAGTTGTAGGTTCTGAGGAGATCTAAAACAATGCAGACACACAAGAGTTCACTTAAAGTAAGGTTTTTATTGAATTGGTAGTGAGGGTGACCAGTCAGGGACCATAGTACAGACTCGGGAGCTGACTGAAGGTCAGAATGCTTACTCAGGAGCAGGAAAAGCACAAATGTATGTGCCAACCCACACAGGATCCTAGATTTGCAATATAACTAAAGATATATTTGTTCTTTGTGGTTAGAAACAGAAAGAATGTCTTGGGGAACTAAAGTTGAATAACAGGCTGGTTTTAGTACCTAGGAGGAAGTTCACCCCTAGTGGAAAGTCCCACTCCCCAGAGTCTGGAAAGGTCCACCTCCCCTGGGGTCTGTGACTTTGAATGTTGTTTTACCTCCCACTTAAATGGAGTCTGGAAACAAGATGGCAGTACTTAGGGCAATTTCCTTTTGCTTAATCCCAACGTAGTGGATTGTGTTATATGCTTCATTTGATTATTCCACCTCTTTATCTCCTTGCTTTCATGTTGTAACTGTGAGACACTATGTCAGTGTATTTCCCTGTTTCAAATGATCTCATCATCACATTTCATTTCATCATGTAAACTATGACTGAAAATCAGCCAGAAGTCCTTTCAACTGCTAGTGTAACCTGAGCTTTAAGGGGAAAGTTCCAGTTTCCAGCAGACTCACAGGCTCATCTCAGTCACTTAGACAACATGCCAATGAAGGAGGCAGGGGATTGGCCCTGGGCAAAGCCATGAGTTCTCATCAGTGTGGCCATACTGTTCTGAAATTCATGACCCGATGGATTGAAGACAATGACTGATGTCTCATCCTGTCTCTGCTCCTATATGAAGCTAAACAGGTAACCCAAAATAAAATAAATAAATGAACAAAATAAAAGAGCATTATGAGAAGGGGAGACTGAAGAGAGGCTAGGAGGCTTTGTTGCTTGTCGGGGTCCATAAAGATGACCCCACTGCTGATTAAAGGCCAGAGAGTTCAAAACTGCCCTTTGTAAGTCATAAGACACAAAGGCCAATGGTGTGACTACAGTAGGATGTTTGATCTTGGCCTTGGGTGTCTTATCTAAATAACAACAGACTTGTTCTGAGGTGTGTTTTATTCTAGACCATCAAGGCCAGAAATTGCATATAAGGTGTGGTTACCAAATCCTTGGAGATTTGGGGAAGAAAAGTCTGCTTGCTCCTTATTCTTCATACCACTTTCCGCTTTTTGTTTAAGTTATTTAGGAGTGGTG